TGATCCACCTGCCTTGGACTCCCAAAGTGCTGGGATTACAGGTATGAGCCACCATGCCCAGCCAGATGCCATCACAATTTTTAAAATCATGTGTTGTAAGAGTTTAAAGTATTTTAAATTTAACTGTGCTAATGTTTAACATGTATCTCACATTTTGTTCTCAAGCTGTATCACTGCTCATATAGTTAAATAACAACATTGAATCCAAACCACTAAGCTGAAAGAGCCCATCCCAGGAGAAGAGGGCTGTTAGAGGAGAAACCTCCTAGAGTCTCTCTTGTGACCGTTGAGCCTATTTGGGAAATTTATTATTTCTGTTGTTGTTGTTGAGAGAGAGTCTCACTCTGTCGCCCAGGCTGGAGTGCAGTGGCACATTCTTGGCTCACTGCAACCTCTGCCTCCTGGGTTCAAGCGATTCTCCTGCCTCAGCCTCCCAAGTAGCTGGGATTACAGGCACCTGTCCCTGCACTCAGCTAATTTTTGTAGTTTTTAGTAGAGACAGGGGGCAGGCTGGTCTTGAACTCCTGACCTCGTGATCCACCTGTCTCAGCCTCCCAAAGTGCTGGGATTACAGGCATGAGCCACTGTGCCTGGCTGGCGTCTTTCTTTTTTTTTTTTTAGATGAAGTCTTGCTCTGTCCCCCAGGCTGGAGTGCAGTGGCACGATCTTGGCTCACTGCAACCTCTACCTCCTGGGTTCAAGCACTTCTCCTGCCTCAGCCTCCCAAGTAGCTGGGATTACAGGCATGTGCCACCATAACTGGCAAATTTTTATATTTTTAGTAGAGACAAGGTTTAACAATGTTGGTCAGGCTAGTCTTGAACTCCTGACCTCATGATCTGCCTGCCTTGGCCTCCAAAAGTGCTGGGATTACAGGTGCTATTACTTCTTTTATTCAAGTTACTCTCTAGGAAGTGGCAAGACAATCTTGCAGGCAAAAAGAGGCTTCAGGTGACACACACTACACAGCCGCCTCCCCAGCCCTCATCTTCAGTGAACCCCTCCTTCCAGCATCACTCGCCTCAGGTGTTGGAGCGGAAGCTGGCCAGCAGTTCTAGGGTCACCTGGGCGTGCCTGCCTGCTACTGGCACAGCAATCTTTGTGTGTGGCCCAAGGATCTTCTATACCCATGGTGGGGGCAGCAGGGCAGAAAACAGCCTCCACTTTTGAGGAAGATTTTAGCACCGAATTTCCTCAGACCCACTTCCCTCAAGGGACATCTCACTTTAGCTTAAGTTCTTTTCAGAAAGGCTAACGGGTGGGTGTGGTGACTCACCTATAATCCCAATACTGTGGGAGGCTGAGGCGGGAAGATCACCTGAGCCCAGGTGTTCAAGACCAGACTGGACATGTGACCCTCTCTCTACAAAAAATTTAAAAATTAGCCAGGTGTGGTGGCTTGCACCTGTAGTCCCAGCTGCTTAGGAGGCTGAAGCAGGAGAATCTCTTGACCCTGGGAGGTCAAGGCTGCAGTGAGCCATGATCGTGCCACTGCACTTCAGCCCGGGCAACAGAGTGAAACCCAGTCTCAGAAAAAAGAAAGGCTAAGTGGTATCTGAAACCGTTTGTGAAATTCAATTTCCCTCTGCTGCTAAGATAAAAATAATTAAGAAGTATTAAATATATGAAATAGGCTGGGCACGGTGGCTCACGCCTATAATCCCAGCACTTTGTGAGGCCGAGGCGGGTGGATCATGAGGTCAAGAGATCGAGACCATCCTGGCTAACATGTGAAACCCCTTCTCTACTAAAAATAAAAAAGTAGTGGGGTATGGTGGTGCGTGCCAGTAGTCCCAGCTACTCAGGAGGCTGGGGCAGGAGAGTGGAAACCGGGAGGCGGAGGTTGCAGTGACGGGAGATCGCACCGTTGCACTCCAGCCTGGCAACAGAGCAAGACTCCTCGGGAAAAAAAAAAAAAATTTATTGATGTAATCGCCGACACAATAAATTTTACTTATTTAAACCATACAATTGGACACGTGTATCCCCATGAAACCACCAGTTAAGCTGAGAAACACCCATCACTCCACTTCCCCATGGCTTCGTTGGCCCTCCAGACAACAGTGTAGTCTGCTTCCCCCAGTCTAGTTTGCATTTCCTAGAATTTTATGTAAATGGAATCATACAGTATGTACTTTTTGTCTGGCTTTTTCCACTCAGCTTTGTTGAAATTCATCCATGTTGTAGCATATATGAGTACTTGTGTTTTTTGTTTTTTTGGTTTTTGTTTGTTTGTTTTTGAGAGAGGGTCTTGCTGTGTCACCCAGGCTGGAGTGCAATGGCACGATCCCGGGTCACTGCAACCTCAGTCTCCCAAGCTCAAGCGATTCTCCCACCTCAGCCTCCTGAGTAGCTGTGGTTACAGGGACATGCTACCACATCCAGCTAATTTTCGTATTTTTTGGTAGAAATGGTGTTTCACCGTGTTGGCCAGGCTGGTTTCAAACTCCTGAACTCAAGCTATATCCTCCCAAAGCCCTGGGATTATAGGTGTCAGCTGCTGTGCCCGGCCACTTCATTCTATTTTATTGCTAAATAGCATTCCCTTGTATAGATATACAAAAGTTTGCTTACCTGTTACCTGCTGACACACGTTTGGGTTGTTTCCAGGTGTGGGTGATTGCACGTATGCCTGCCGTGAACACTAGTGTACGCATGCCTGTGTGAATGGATCCATCCTTTCTCCTGGGAGTGGGATACCTAGATCATATGGAAGGTGCAAGTTTAATATTTTAATACATTTTTAATTTAGAATAATTTTAGATTTTCAGAAAAGTTTCGAAGATAGAACAGAGTTCCATTTACCCCCATCCAGCTTCCTTTATTGTTAGCCTTTTACATTCCTTTCACACGTTTGTCAAAGCTAAGAAACTGACATTGGTTCAAAGTGATTAAGCTCCAGACTTCATTTGGATCTCACCAGGTTTTCTGTGAATGCCTTCTTTCTGTTCCAGGATCTGGCCCAGAACACCATATTGCCCCGTTTTCCCTTTGCCCCCGGCTCAGTGCTCACTAAGCCCTCAGCTGCCTTAGTCTCCCCTCCGTTTATGCTTAAAGCAGGGCAGCCTCCTTCCAACAACATCGGAGATCCAGTTGGGTGTGGGTAACACCCCCCAGGAGCACCGAGGAAGGAGAACTGCACAGACCCCAAGCACAATTAGTGCCTGAAGTATAACTCTGCTTACTTATATCTGGCTTACATATAAAATCATACTAGGTCCCAGATGATCTTTCTATATAATCATATAACTTACTGCTTACTATATGTAGCTTATATATATAATCATTCTTAGTTCCATATAATCTTTATAATCATATAGGTATTGTAGTCGGAGCTGTACTGACACATTTAGTGCTGATTTATAGAATCCTTCCATATAACCATATAGTAGTTTGTAGCAGGAGGAATGCCTAGAGCAGTCACAGAACAGAAGCAGTACATGGGAAAACAGCCAGACCAGGACGAGAACTGGAGACCCAGGCGGTGGCATCTTTGCCTGAAAGGGCATACGCTGTATGGCAGGTTGGAGCAGGAGGCTCTCCTGAAAAAGGAGTTGTAGTACCTTGCATCCAGCTCCTGTGGAAAGTAGGCCTCAGGCCTGAGATCCTGCAAAGAACTGAGGGAGAAGAACCCCTCTGGTATGACCAGCTCAAGGCGGCTGTACACCCTGTCAGTCTTGTCTCACTTCTGTGCTAGCTCAAATCATCCTCCCATAAATAAGAGCACAAGTTTGTCAGCTCCCACTGCATTGGTTTGCAGTGTCCTTCTATCAGAAATCCTTTAATGTCTCCAGCCCCAGATAAGAAGTGTCGTGCACCACACCTATTGCACACAGCCCACCTCTTTGCCTCGGTGACCTAATGGGGGTGGACCCCTTTTCTGTACACAACCCTCTACTACTGCACCAGAACAGCCCCCTACTGCGCACAGCCCACCTCTCTGCCCAGGTGACATAAGGGGGTGGCCCCCTCGCTTGTTACTCACGTGATTATGTATGCCCTATCACTAAGCCTATAGATGATGACCTCACTTATGACCCTTTCCCCTGCTTGTACCTAAAAAATGCAGATGCTTCTGGGCGTTGGGGACTCGCCTGTCTCTGCTCATAGGTGGCGTGCTCCCACCCCTAGCCCAGCTGCTCTTCTCCAGTTCTCCAGTGTCCTGTCTCTTTACTGCTCAGATCCTGCACCTCAGCACAGCATAAGGGACATCTCACAACCCTGTGGGGCCAACAGCCCTACAGTTGGGCTGGGAAAAAAAAACCTATGGGGGCTTAACTCTGGGCTTGGGCATCCCCACTACCCCACCTCCTCCAGCAGGCTGGGTTCCAATGCTGCCTCCAGCTGTGCGGATTCCCTGATATCTGTGTTTCCAGGTCCTTCCCCAGCCCCAGGGGACAGTGAAGATGTCCACATTTCCCGAGCAGCTCTGCTGTGCTCCACACGAGGAAAGCCTGGGTTACTGAGGCTTCCCGGGCGGCCGGGGGCGGGGGGGATCTCTGGCCTGGGCATGTGAGCGGTGCAGCGAGGGCCCGTGGCCCCCAAGTGTGCATGAGGTGCCGGGTGACGGGGCGCGGCTTGGTGCATAGCGGGAGGTGGGACCTGGGGGCGTGGCCGGGGGCCCGGCTGGAGGGAAAATAGGGGGCGCGGCCTGGTGTTGGCAGCGCGTTGGGGGGAGGAGGCAGTGGTGTGGCGCGTGAAGGTGGTGAGGCCACCCCTTGGGGACTAGGGACGGACTGGTGGGAGGGGGTGGGCTCAGCTTGGTGAGTGTCAGCTGTCGGGGAATGGCGCGGCCTGGCACAGGTACTTAGGGGGCTAGGGGCGTGGCCTCGCACTTGGCTGTTGGCGGCGCGTGACGGGGGCGTGGCCTGGCACGTGGCCCGGCACGTGGCCCTCGAGGGGCTGGGGGCGTGGCTTTGCACGAGACTGTTGGCGGCGCGTGGCGGGGGCGTGGTCTGGCGCGTGGTGGTCTGGGGCTGGGGGCGCGCAGGCTCGGCTGCGGCCAGGGCAGCGGCGGCATGGGGCGGTTGCGCTGGCGGGCGGCGGCTACGGCGGCCGTGGGCCTGGCGCTGGCCCTGGAGGTGCTACCCTGGGTGCTGCGCTGGCTGCGGTCCGGGAGGCGGCGGCTGCGGCGCGAGGTGCTGTTCTTCCCGTCGCAGGTGACCTGCACCGAGGCTCTGCTGAGGGCGCGGGGCGGGGCGCCGGCCGGGGAGCAGGCCGCGCTCCCCGACTGCTGCTTGTGCGGCCTGCCTCACGGCGAGAGCTCGCTGAGCCGCCTAATGCGCGCCCTGCTGGCCGCCCGCGTCAGCCTGGAGCTCTGCCTGTTCGCCTTCTCCAGCCCGCAGCTGGGCCGCGCCGTCCGGCTGCTGCACCAGCGCGGGGTGCGAGTGCGGGTCGTCACCGACTGCGACTACATGGCCCTCAACGGCTCACAGATCGGCCTGCTGCGCAAGGCAGGTAGGCCCGGCGGGGGCGCAGGTGGAGAAGGCCGGCCTGACGCTCGAGGGGTCCTAGGCAAAGGTGGACACTTAGGAGAGGGGGTCTGGGGTCGGGCTGAGACCTCGTTTACTTTCCCTAGTAGCCATGGGGGGTCGGGGTGGTTTAACGCGGAGAAAGCGGAGCCCCCTCAGAAGGCCTAGCTGGCTGTGCGGGCAGAAGCGAGCAGGGCCCTTGGTTGTCACCCCAGTGGGGGCAGTTCTCTGAGTGACTGCCATGCTGGAAGCAGGTGCCTGCGTGTGCCGGCTTAGAGGCGGGTCCGGCTCCCCCAGGAACTCCCCCGCCCTACCAGCGGAGGAGTTTTCGTGACTGCTGCATGCCGGCCCGCCCTCCCGCAGGCTGTCGGAGACCCCTGGACGGCCTCTGGTGACCTGGATCCTGCTAGCAGGGAAGCTGGACTCCAGGGTTGTGCTGGGACTTCCGTACTAAAGGGCTCCAGGGAGAGGCGGCCACCTGCTGCTGAGCAAACCTCAGGCCACCAGGCTTTGGGATACCTAAAGATATGTTCTAGAAGGCAGCACCAGGACGTCCGGTTGTTTTCTCAGCTGCATAAGGAGGGGCAACACATCTCTCTCTGGCGGGGGCGCATCTCTCACGGGGTTGACAGAAGGAAACAGGAAATGTGAATAATTGGGATCCTTGTCCTGCCTGAGGATTCTCAGGCCATCCTGGCCCAGTTCGGTGGCCCAGCCTGCTCTTGCCTTTGGTGTATTTGCACCCACAGACTCTTGGGCTTCTCTCTGTCCCCATCACTCAGGTGCCCAGAAAGTCACACCTGCACGTGCAACCGTTGGATCTGGTAATTTTGGTCACAGTGACTGAGAGACCGTGGAGTCCTGGGAACTGCCCACGTTGGGCAGTGGCCACCGACGCACTGTTCCTTCTGCATAGCCGCGGCCTCTTGCTGACTTGGGCCGCAGAGCAGCCTCTCCAGAGTCAGCCAGCCTCCCTCTCCGGTCTGGGTGGTGTGGGGTGTGTTGCACCCCCCGTGGGAGCAGAGTGGGGCGAGTGGTTTTCATGTTGAGGATGTGCCTTTCTCTTTTGGCTGTCACAAGAGCCGTTCTCTCAAGTGTTGGTCATTTTAACGGGGGAGGTGTGGGGACCTCCAGGCGTGCACAGCAGAGTTCTGTTTGAGTTGCTTTTAGAGTCGTAGAAGCTGAGGTTTGCGAAGAACCTTCAAGGACCCCTAGACCAAGGTCCCATTCGATCCCCTCTGCGTTGGCCTCCCAGTGTCCTTGCTGACTTTGAGGCTGTCCAGTGGCATTCACCCATTCAAGGAAGGAATGTCCTCTGTGTGCCAGTATTTGTGAGGAGCTGGGACACCCTAGGGCACAAGGCCATATTCCCATGGGGATGCCAGCTAAGTCACCATATTTCATTTAGGGCAATAAGAAGGGTCAGGAAAACTTCATAAAGCAGGGTGAGGAGGCAATGGTGTGGAAGGAAGTGGTGTGGGCCAGGTCAGCTGCCCAGGGGCAGTGACACTCAGGGCAGGGACCTTGATGACACAAGTGGGCTGTCCGGAGGGGAGGCATGCGGCTGGAAAGGGCAGCAGCACAGACGCCCTGGGTCACAGACTGACTTCTTTGTGAGGAGCCGCAGGGGTCCTCTGTGGCTGACCATGGAAAGTGGTGAGCGGGTGTAGGTCAGGCTTCCCCTGAGAGGCCAGAGGTGGCGGGCCTCGGGGAGGGGCTGGGGGTTGGGGCAGTAGATCCTGGTGGAGGCAGGAGGTGTCGGCAATGGTGAGGCTTTAGATTGCCTACCTTTTGGAGCAATGCATTTGGATGGCAGCGCCGACAGGGCATGCTGGTGGAGTGGCCGGAGCGTGAGGAGAAGGGTTGGATCCCCCAGATAAGGAAGCCACCAGGCACAATGCAGGAGGCACAATTAAAAGTGAATTCCACACGCAGGGAGTGAGGTTTTTTTTTTTTTTTTTGGAGACGGAGTTTTGCTCTTGTTACCCAGGCTGGAGTGCAATGGCGCGATCTCGGCTCACCGCAACCTCTGCCTCCTGTTTCAGGCAATTCTCCTGCCTCGGCCTCCTGAGTAGCTGGGATTACAGGCATGCGCCACCATGCCCAGCGAATTTTTTGTATTTTTAGTAGAGACGGGGTTTCACCATGTTGACCAGGATGGTCTCGATCTCTTGACCTCGTGATCCACCCGCCTCGGCCTCCCAAAGTGCTGGGATTACAGGCTTGAGCCACCGCGCCCGGCCTAGGGAGTGAGTTTTAGGGGATGTTCCCAGTACTCCATGGCACATACTTCCCTTCAAAAATGACTATCTGAAACTCCATTTAACTTGATGTCCTGTATTTTGATGTGGAAAAATCTGGCAACTGTGTTGCGTGGCAGCCTGTTTAAAACTTTGAAGCCCCATTTCTAACGGCCTCATTCCTTGAGCAGGTCGTGAGTGAGGCAGTGTTATTCCAGGGGAGACAGACACAGGTCCTTCCCTGCAGGAGTTTGAAAGCTGGGAAGAGGGGAGGCGGGCATCACTGGTTCTTTGGTGAAGGAAGCAGGGGGTGTGGAAGAGGAGAATTCGTTTGTGCGTCAGTTAGTTAGGGCCCTTCCTCCCTTGGTGGCCAAGGTTGTACCAGTGAAGTGGGCTCTGCTCCCAGACACAAGGGCCTCTCTGGGCAGAGTGGGCACAGTCTCAGCCTTAGCTGTGGAAGAGTCAGAATCTGAAGGCAAGGGGACTCACACGCTGTCTTTGCGCCGGTTGCCTCTGACTGGGTTAGTGACAGCCTCAGCAGCAACCAGTAGCCCCGAAGGGACATGCTGCATAGACTCAGAGGTGTGGTCTCACCCAGACCACAGCCTGCCCAGTCTCCCATGGCCTGTGTGTGATGCTCTGGCCCCATTAGTTATGCCCCCTCTGTGGTTCTTAGGATCCCTCCTGGGAGCTTAGCCGCCACCACTCTGTGAAACATGGTGGGATTTCCTGGCCCAGCAAACTGAAAACAAATAGTAAAGCCATTTGCCCCCAGGAATAGTCCACACTGGAGGCGGGACTCCTGAATGGGATGAAAGCACCTTGTCCTTTCTGCAGGTATCCAGGTCCGGCATGATCAAGACCTGGGCTACATGCATCACAAGTTCGCCGTCGTGGACAGGAGGGTGCTCATCACTGGCTCACTCAACTGGACCACACAGGCCATCCAGAACAACAGGGAGAACGTGCTCATCATGGAGGACGACGAGTACGTGCGGCTTTTTCTGGAAGAATTTGAGCGCATCTGGGAAGAGTTTGACCCTACAAAGTATACCTTTTTCCCGCAAAAGAAGAAAAGTCACTGAAGCTGTGCCCTACCTGTCTCCGGAGCTAGAGGGAGATCACTTTCATGGCACAGAACTTTCGGCACCTCCAGCCGAAACCAGACCTAACCAAGAAGGGGACTGTGCCCTCCCTTTGCTCTGGTGCTGTTCACACACAGCACTAGAGCAAAAGGTCTAGTGCAGAGACCTCAGCACTAGAAAAACATTGTTAAACTCCTGTCTATTTCAATACTAAATTGAACTAAAGAAGGTTAGGGAAGGGAATGTCTGTTATTTCAGGTCAGTTATTTTGGGCCAGACCTTTTTTTTTTTTGCCCCTCTGCCAAAATAACTTCAGTCACAACCTGTCACAGGAGTGCTTTCGGGAGCGTGGTCTTTATCTTGGTTTGGAATCGAAGCTTCTGCCACAGTACAGAAAAGGCACAGTGCCTCCTCCAGGCTGGTCCCATTCCCTTCCCTGATTCTAAAAAACCTCTGCTTTGCCTGACTTGGCCCTTTTTGCGTCTCCTTGAGAGTTCTTCCCTCTTTCCATGTGGCATGCTGGGGATTGGCTGGGGCCCACAGTCTCCTTGTCCCTCACAGTCTGTCCCTGTCGGGTCTCTGTCATCAGAGGGGAGAGAGGAAACGGAGTCAGGAGGAAGGGAAGATCTGAGTGTGTGGTGGGGATGGCAGGCAGCCTTCGGAGCAACCCTGTGAGCCTCATTGCCACCAAAGGCTGGCTGTTCCCTTGCTTCCCTGCATAATTTCTTTTTATAACCAGTATGCATGCCAGTGCCAAGCTCTGCAGCTGGCCTGTCCTTGGGTAGTAAGTGCAGTGGTCTGTCAGGACCGATGGCCAGCAGCTGCTTCTGTTGCCAAGGTGGGCTTTTAACTTTTTTTTTTTTTTTTTTGAGATGGAGTCTGGCTCCGTGGCCCAGGCTGGAGTGCAGTGGCATAACCTTGGCTCGCCGCAACCTTTGCCTCCCAGGTTCATGTGATTCTCCTGCCTCAGCCTCCTGAGTAGTGGGGATTGCAGGCACCTGCCACTACACCCAGCTAATTTTCTTTTTTTTTTTTTTCTTATTTTAGTAGAGACGGGGTTTCACCATGTTGGCCAGGCTGGTCTTGAACTCCTGACCTCAAGTGATCCACCCACGTCAGCCTCCCAAAGTGCTGAGATTATAGGCGTGAGCAATCACGCTAGTCGGGCTTTTAACTTTTAATATCCTTATGTTTAAGGTAATTTTGTTGTGTGTTTAGAAGTGACCTTACCTTTAACACCTGTGGACTTAGTGTGTGCACATTGCTGGCTCAGCATAACCCATCCTGGGACCAGAGGAGAGGAGAAGAGGAGAGCAGCTTCAGGCTGTGGTGTCTCCCGGATCTGTGCTCTTACTTGCAGCTCAGGGTTTGCATTCACAGGTAGAACAGGTGTCGTGCATTGTGAAGTGTTTTAGGTTATTTGTTTATAATGTGTATGTCATATATAGATAGCTCCAATGACATCTGAATTTGTGACTTCACCGTCTTGTCATATTTCTATATGATGCGCCCCAGGTCCCGTCCTGAGGTCTGGCTGTGTGTGGTCTCACCTCCCCGGCTCATGCCGACTCTACCATCCAGAGACCCTTCAGTGCTGTGTTTTTTTCCTTTTTAAGTTACCTTTGACTCACAATGTCAGGCAAGTCAGCTTGAAGTTAAAATTGAAGCTATGAAGTATAATATACAGATTGGAAGTCACCAGAAATTGTTTTAGTTTGTGAATGCCCACAGTGTATGTTCTGAAAAGAAAATGGGAGAACTTAGCATCTCCTGAATGCGAAGCCACGAGGCCCTGGACTTCTGGCACATCTCAGTAAACATGTTCTTATTCTGGAATGTGAGCGCTGTGTTTCTTTGCCTTAGCCTGCTGCTAAGTCATTCAAATTGGGGCTACTCTTTGTGAAATACAACTTTTTTGGGGGGGCAATATACAGCTATTTACAAACTGTTAGTCAAAGCACAGGAGACTCAAAAAAAGGAGTAAAACTTTAAGATGTTACTTGGGTGAAGAAAATAATGTATACAGTGGTCCATTTCGAAGACAAACTGCCTTGAATCATCTTAGGTCAGCAAACTACGGAACAAACGATGTACCAGGCCCCTCGGGATAGCTGACACCTGCTTGTTGGCTTCCCCCTGCGCCTCCTTCCCTTCCTTAGCTGCCTTCACCTCAACCAATAGAGCTTAGTCTAAAATGAATTACTAGCCTGCAAAATAGCTCGCTTTGTCTGTTCTTACTGGCCGGCTTGGCCACTCAGGTGTTGCCAAATACTTGAAGAGCCCCTAAGCTAAGATTGCAATGCAACAAAATCCAGCAACACAACCAAAAAAAAAACAACACTTAAAGTCCCTACTTAACAATCAATAAGCAATGTCTGAGAAGACTGTGACCCCATAGTACTCAGCCTAAAAGGAAGGCGGAACCTACACACTAGGGGATAAATGGTTTGTTGAAACTGCTGGGTGTTTCTGCTCATCAGACACCCGATCTCTGAAGGCTGTTATTAAAAGCCTCACTTTCACTGTTCTCCGGGTCTCTGAGTCCATTCTTTGGTTTGGATGGGTGAGTTTGTTTCTCACATTGGGTGCCTCCTAGATTAAGATATTTCCCAAAATGTCCAGGTGCTCTCTTTAGACCAGGAGTTGGAGCGAGGCTCAGTGCCTGCTGTGGCCCTGACTTGTATGGCATGCACCCTGCCACCTGGGGACCTGGACCACGCCCAGCGCAGGTGGGAAGGTGCTCCAGTGCCATCCGTGGGTGAATGCACACAAAGTAACCTGCCCAAGCTGTCAACAGGAATGTTTCAAGAAATGTGGAATTGCCAGGAGCGGTGGCTCACGCCTGTAATCCCAGCACTTTGGGAGGCCAAGGTGGGCGGATCACCTGAGGTCGGGAGTTTGAGACCAGCCTGTCCAAGATGGAGAAACCCGTCTCTACTAAAAATACAAAATTAGCCAGGCGTGGTGGCGCACGTGATGAGTGGAGATTGTGCCATTGCACTCCAGCCTGGGTAACGAGCGAAAATCCATCTGAAAAAAGAAATGTGAAATTATTTCATATATATATATTATTATTTTTTTGAGATGGAGTTTCGCTCTTATTGCCCAGGCTGGAGTGCAATGGCATGATTTTGGCTCACCGCAACCTCTACCTCCTGGGTTCAAGCAATTCTCCTGCCTCAGCCTCCCGAGTAGCTGGGACTACAGGTGCGCGCCACTACGCCCAGCTAATTTTTTTGTATGTTTAGTAGAGACGGGGTTTCACCATGTTGACCAGGATGGTCTCGATCTCTTGACCTCGTGATCCACCCGCCTCGGCCTCCCAAAGTGCTGGGATTACAGGCTTGAGCCACCGCGCCAATACTTCTTAATTATTTTTATCTTAGCAGCAGAGGGAAATTGAATCTCACAAACGGTTTCAGATACCACTTAGCCTTTCTTTTTTCTGAGACTGGGTTTCACTCTGTTGCCCGGGCTGAAGTGCAGTGGCACGATCATGGCTCACTGCAGCCTTGACCTCCCAGGGTCAAGAGATTCTCCTGCTTCAGCCTCCTAAGCAGCTGGGACTACAGGTGCAAGCCACCACACCTGGCTAATTTTTAAATTTTTTGTAGAGAGAGGGTCACATGTCCAGTCTGGTCTTGAACACCTGGGCTCAGGTGATCTTCCCGCCTCAGCCTCCCACAGTATTGGGATTATAGGTGAGTCACCACACCCACCCGTTAGCCTTTCTGAAAAGAACTTAAGCTAAAGTGAGATGTCCCTTGAGGGAAGTGGGTCTGAGGAAATTCGGTGCTAAAATCTTCCTCAAAAGTGGAGGCTGTTTTCTGCCCTGCTGCCCCCACCATGGGTATAGAAGATCCTTGGGCCACACACAAAGATTGCTGTGCCAGTAGCAGGCAGGCACGCCCAGGTGACCCTAGAACTGCTGGCCAGCTTCCGCTCCAACACCTGAGGCAAGCGATGCCGGAAGGAGGGGTTCACTGAAGATGAGGGCTGGGGAGGCGGCTGTGTAGTGTGTGTCACCTGAAGCCTCTTTTTGCCTGCAAGATTGTCTTGCCACTTCCTAGAGAGTAACTTGAATAAAAGAAGTAATAGCACCTGTAATCCCAGCACTTTTGGATTACAGGTGTGAGCCACTGTGCCTGGCTCTCAAACCATTTTAGTATATGTGTGTATATGTAACTCTTAACATCATGTTGTGTACCTTAAATATACACAATACAATTTATTTCTTAAAAGGTTATACAAACTATATTATCAGATAAGGGGTTAATTTCCAAAATATATAAGCAGCTCCTATGACTGATAACTCAATTTTTAAAAAATGGACTAAAGACATGAATAGACCTTTTCCCAAAGACATACAAATGGTCAACAGGTATATTTAAAAGAGCTCAATGTCATGAATCATCAGAGAAATGCAATCAAAGCCACAGGAGGTATCACTTCACATTTATTAGGATGATTATTAAAAACAAAAAACAAAACAACAAAAAAACTAAAGCTGGCCAGGGACAGTGGCTCATGCCTGAAATCCTGGCACTTTGGGAAGCCGGGGCGAGTGGATCACCTGAGGTCAGGAGTTCGAGACCAGCCTGGCCAATATGGTGAAACCCTGTCTCTAATGAAAATAGAAAAATTAGCTGGGTGTGGTGGCAGGTGCCTGTAGTCTCAGCTACGCAGGAGGCTGAGGCAGGAGAATTGCTTTAACTGAGAGGCAGAGGTTGCAGTGAGCCCAGATCATGCCACTGTACTCCAGCCTGGACAACAAGAGCGAAACTCTTCTCAAAAAAAAAGGAGGAATTTAGGGAACATGCTTGGGTAACCGCCCAATAAGCTGAACAAACACTTCAGAAGGCCTGTTCCTGGACTCTGTAAGATGACCCATTTCCCTTGAAAAGAAAACTGAGGCCGGGCGCGGTGGCTCAAGCCTGTAATCCCAGCACTTTGGGAGGCCGAGGCGGGTGGATCACAAGGTCAAGAGATCGAGACCATCCTGGTCAACATGGTGAAACCCTGTCTCTACTAAAAATACAAAAAATTAGCTGGGCATGGTGGCACGTGCCTGTAATCCCAGCTACTCAGGAGGCTGAGGTAGGAGAATTGCCTGAACCCAGGAGGCAGAAGTTGCGGTGAGCCGAGATCGCGCCATTGCACTCCAGCCTGGGTAACATGAGTGAAACTCCGTCTCAAAAAAAAAAAAAAAAAAAAACTGAGTGTAAATACCTTTTTTTTTTTTTTTTTTTTTTTTGGAGACAGAGTCTCACTCTATCATCCAGGCTGGAGTGCAGTAGTGCAACCTCTGCCTCCCGGGTTCAAGTGATTCTCTTGCCTCAGCCTCCTGAGTAGCTGGGACTACCGGCATACACTACCAGCCCAGCTTTTTTTTTTTTTTTTTTTTTTTTTTTTTTTAAGAAGGGTTTAGTATTTATGTGTTTGTGTTTGTGTGTGTCTGTGCGCGAGCCCCCGTATGTTTTTTTTTTTTTTTTTTTTGGTATTTTTAGTAGAGATGGTTTCACCACGTTGGCCAGGCTGGTCTCGAACTCCTGGCTTCGTGATCCGCTTTCCTTGGCCTCCTGAAGTGCTGGAATTACAGGCATGAGCCACTGTGCCCAGCCCTGAGCGTATTTTAAATGTAAAATCAGGAAATCCTTGACTGCCTTCAAACACACGGGGAAGGTTCAAGATTGGGAATTTGTTTTCTGTCCCTTCCACTTGGTATGAAAAGCTACAAAATCGGGAATCCCTATTCCCTCACAAGGGGAGCAATCTGGCCTCGTCTTGGCCTGGTACAGATTCAGGTCAGCCTAAGGCTCTTCTGCAATCACAACTAATAGGAAAAGTCTTCAAGAACTGCATGCCCTGAGGGAGAAAAAGCCCACAGCTGCCTAGAAACACCAGTGGGTGTAGTGCCGTGCCTGCCCCCTCGCCAGCAAGCTGTTTAGACATGAGAAATCCAGGTCGCATATGCTCCTGAAGTGAATGCAGAGCTAACTTACACTGGGCTCCTACTTGCCAAGTGGATTCAGCTACTAGACTGGCAGACAACTGGCAAAAACTGAGCACAGAACTGTGTTCCCAGGAATGCCATGCACGAGAGAAACAGGAATCTACTTGAAGCTAGGGAGGACAGTGGGCGGCCATCTCTTTCCTCATTTTCTCTTGACTCACACAGGTCGAGGTCCCCTACCTCGAGGTAGATGACTCAACCGTGAACCCTCAGTTTTGGGGACTGCCATGGTCAGCCAGGGTGCTTCCAGCCATCTTCCTCTCAGATGGACACGCCTTTAAATATCATTAAGGGATGAGCCATTTCTAAAGCTGAACAAAATGCCAAGCACAGCCAGGTGCGGTGGCTCATGCCTGTAATCTCAGCACTTTGGGAGGCCAAGGTGAGTGGATCATGAGGTCAGGAGATTGAAACCATCCTGGCTAACATGGTGAAACACTATCTCTACTAAAAATACAACAAAATTAGCCAGGTGCAGTGGCACACACCTGTAATCCCAGCTACTCAGGAGGCTGAGGCAGGAGAATCGCTTGAAACTGGGAGGCAGAGGTTACGGTGAGCCAAGATCATGCCACTGCACTCCAGCCTGGGCCACAGAGACTCTGTCTCAAAATAAAAATGCCAAGTACATGGGCATAGACACTCAACAGATGTCCCTGGGATAAATGTTTTCTTCTCTCCCACACCAGCTCCAAAGACTAACTTTGAAAAGACTGTCTACAATCAATGCAGAAGCTTACACGTGTGAATTGGCCGCTCGCTGCTATTATTTCAAACATAGTATTTCCTGTGCCTGAGTCCAAGTAAATATTAGGCATCCAACCAACAAAACCATGAAGTCCACCATTTACAAAAATACATCTTTATTGTGTTCCAATGTTGTTGCATTATACAGATAACTAGTTATATAAACTTAGTCTTCATGTTAAGTATAAATTAAACACAAAAAACTAGAAACAAACCAGCCAAACTGCCATAAAATCCCTCCAAGCTATGAATCCTTATTAAAAATGTACAGTGAGGGCACCTGTAGCTGTAGGTGGAGGCAGGAGGACTGCCTGAGCTTAGGAGTTCAAGATCAGCATGGATGACATAGCAAGATGCTGTCTCTTTAAAAACAAAAAGTACAGTGGGATGATGAAATTGTCTTCAATCACCACACTCTGAAAATAGTTAACTGTAGCCAAATGTAAATGTTGAAAGCAGCAATGAAGGCAAAAGCGATACAGAATAAAAGCATGGTAGGCCTCGCATATCCAGGGGGTTGGGCAAGTCAGATGCTCGCTCTGACACCTCAGCAACCTATCATCTTTGTGCAAAAATGATCAGGGGTTCCATCGTTAAGCCACAGGTTACCTTCACAAGCACCTGAGGGGGAACACCCCAGAAGACGAGCCCCATGACTTCAGAACACACGTCTCAGGAGACTTGAAGATGAGGAACAGTTCCACTTCACTCCCCAAAGTCTCCTGCAGAGTCCTGACTCAAAAACGACTCAGTGACCAAGGACTGGCAATGTACTGAATATTCACAACTGCAGCAAAATGTGCACTCAAACACGAGGCCCAGAAACACGTGCTGAATTTCAAATGGAAAGGCTTGAATGTTAACCTCGAGAGCGGATATGTCATTGCGCCTGCGTATGGAGTCGGACCAACCCGACCTGTTTCTCCTGCGGGTTTTGAAATCTAAGACCACAAGGGGCCTGGAGGGTAAGCTGTCCTAGGCATCTCTCTGAGGGATTCCAAGAAAGGGAGCCCACCATCCCCACGCCTTTCATTGCCTCTTCAGCGATTCCAGTGGCTTGAGGAAGGGTGTAGGAAGTACACAGGCCCCAAACCCGACAGAGGGCCGAGCCCAGCCCCAAGTTTCCATTCCTTGCTGGGACACAGCTCCTTCCAGCAAATCAGAGACACACGAACAGTCCCTCGTGCGTGGCTGGAGGGGCCTGTGGTCAGCCACCCCCATCTTCGGGCAGGGGTGTGTGGCAGGTCAGCTCCGAGACTCCAAGGCCGTGGGACTGCGGACCGTGGACATGAGGTGTGACTTGTAGGTCTTGCTCAGGCCAGTCATCCAGAACTTCAGCAGCTTGACATTGTCCTCCTCGGAGGCGCCCAGGATGCTGAGCAGCTTCTGCGTGTCCTCTTTGGGCCGACTGTCCACCTTGGTGAACTTAAAAAGCACCTTCACTTTGCTGCAGGAAACCAAAACAAAACACTCAGACACCACAGCACGAACCCTGAGCCCTGCTCATGGCCAGTGGCTTCGGGGCCAGCAGGAGCTGCACAGGCAGGGCTGGAATCCGCACCCTCAGGGCAGCAGGCCCCTGAGCTGCCAGAAGGCGCTGTGTCCTGCAAGGAAGGGAAACTGTTGGGCTGGGCTCGGCCCTCCGTCGGGTTTGGGGCCTGGGTGCTTCCCACACCCTCCCTCAAGCTGTTAAGATGCCAAGAAAGAAAAACCTTCCTTAAACTCACTGAAGACGGGGAATGCTCCTAAGCTTCACTGCATGATTTTAAATCAGGACGTTTGATTAACAAATCTGACCAAAAAATTACCAAGAATTGAGGCAGGAGGAAATAAAGTAAACTTGCTTAAAACACAAAACACGGTGGGGTGGGGGTTGGCAAGTGTTACTGGGCTTTCAGGTTTTAAAGTAAATTGCACAGCAAGTGACAGAGCTTCCATTATCAACCCTCCCATGTGCTCGGGAGCCCTTGCCCAAGCCTCAACCACTCTCCCAGGCAGGTGCCACCCCCACCTCCGCAAGCAGGAGCAGGGGTCAGAGATGACAACCACCTCCCAAGGCCGCCTGAGCTCCGCAGTGGTGGACCTGGTGTTGGCACCCCGCCCCCAACCCCCACTCTCAGCACCTCCCAGCGGCCATGGCCCAGCTCCTCTTTTGGAAACGGCTCCGGGTTTTATCCTCGGCCCCCGCAAGCAAAGGGGCCTCGCCCACACTGTCGCTTACTTCATCCACTCCTCCTTGAGGCAGACGAGGCATTGGTCTACCACATCCACAGACAGGTTCTGGTTGGTCAGGGCGGCCTCGATCTTATTCAGGATGGTGGGGCCGACTGGGGAGAAGGGCGGGGGCAGAGCGAGGGCAGGCGTTAGCACAGGGCAGGAGCCTTTTCCCACGCAAAGGACGCCCACCTGGGGGCACCCACCTCGGTCTGCAGCTACAGGGCTCCCACTGGTCACCACAAACTCGTACTTGCTGAGAGACTGGTCGTCCTCACACCCCACAGGGTGGAGGGTGGAGCGCGCAGCCGCATGGACCTCCACGATGACGGCGAACTCTGTGACAACACAAGGCCCACAGCCCCTAAGTGCTCCTCACCTCCCCTGCGCTCGCCCACTGCAGGCCCCATGCTGGCTCACGTCAGGTCAGTGGGGAGGGCTGCCGGTGAAAAGGCTGCTGAGATCAACGCTTTGCTATTTAGGACCTTTCAGGTGTCTGTGAATAGTTAAGGGTTAACTTTTGCCTAGTTAAACTAATGATTTATTATATTACAATAATCACAAAGTACGTACATCAATTGACCTCCTACTTAAGAAGCCCTATGAGGGTGGTCCCACCATGGCCTCATTTTACAGATGGGGAAACGGACCTGGAGATGTTAAATACCTTCCGAAGGTTACACAGCCTATGGTCGCGGTAAGAGTTTCAAGTCTGTCTGAAACCCAAGCCTGTGTTTCCAGTGCTACCCCGGAAAAAAGGCACTGCTGCGGGGACTCAGGACCCAGCCTGGGTGCTGATCGGAGGCTCAGGGCAGCTCCACTCAGACCGCAAGTCAGCAACTGCTGCTCACAGCTGTGCTGGGGAAGTCACCGATGACCCCGGGGGGCTGACCCCCAGAAATCCCCAAACCAAAGGACCAGGGATGCCGCTGAGCTTCCTGGGTCTCTGTTGCTGAGCGCTGACCGCACCAGTGAAGGCCAGAAAGGCTTCAGGTACATGAGAGGAAGAAACAGGCTTGGAGGAGAGCAGAAGGCGGGACAGGAGAACTGTGAGGAGGGCGGACGGTGGCGCCCAGAGAAGCCGGTGCCCACGCCCAGCATTCAGCAGGCCTCCCACATCTCATGGGCACCCACTCACCAGGACGACCAGGATCCTCTGGCCAGGGCACACATTCTCCCACCCCAGGACGGTGACCTGCAGCCTGCTGAGGACAGTCCCTGCCAGCCACCCTTCACATCAGGTCCACCCACCCACCCCAGCCTGTGTGAAGATGGAACACGGAGGCCCAGAGCCATGGGAGAAGCTAGCCCTGCAATGAGGTCTCCTCCCTCCACAACCCACGACAGCCATCTGCTTCCACTCTGGGCCGGAGGCACGGGGACCCTGAGCGCAGGGCACGGCCCCACAGCCCTTGGTGGAACGCACCTGAGGAGAGCACGTGGGGGGGGATCTGCACGTGCGGGCTGAGCCCCAGGAAGTTGCACCGATAGGCCTCCTCATACTGGCTGCTGTACGGGATGATGCGGACGCAGCCCACGGGCAGCATGGTCTGAGGAGGACAGCAGGACTCAGACCAAGGACAAGAGGAAGCCCTCGGCCCCGGCCATCCACACTCCACTAAACCCCACATGCCTCCTGCGGCCTGGTCCAAGGCCTCCCTCCTCCCAGAGGAGTCCTCAGACTCTCAGCCCATGGTGGGGGTCCTCTGCCATCAGGCTAACTCTCGTCTGGACCGCCAGGCACACACCAGCTCGTACCGCCCCTCGCTTTGTGAAGCTAACTCTTACATTAATCTTGCCTGCACAAATGTCTGTCTCTTATCACATCCCACAAAGAAGCCTTAACCAGGACCGTGCCCCATGCATTTCTGTTCCCTCTCAGGCCAGGCAGTCAGCAGGCACACTCACACCTTCTGATGATTTCTACATCATCAGACCAGACCTGGCCTCCTCACCCACCGCACCCCAGGTGGAGGCAGCATGGGGCACCGTGGCTTGCGCAGAGCAGTCGGGCACCTCAGCAGCCCACCTGACACCAGGCACTGGGCCCACACCGCTCTGCGCCGCACACCCGTGGAAGAGATGTTCTCACCCGAAGCACTTCAAAGGCTGACTGCACGAGGTCCACGTCTCTGCTTTTCCAGATCACCTGGTTCCCCATGAGAACGTGCCAGGCCAGCATGCGGAAAGATGGGGCGCCCAGGACCTAAACAAGAGAATGCAGTGCTTTCGGCGCGACTAGGAGAAATGGTTTTCCTCTCCCTTCCCATGAAGTTATTGATTTGTGTTCATAAAACTTTGTAGAGCAAAGACAGGTTCAGGAGAAAGTCACTTATCTTCTCAGGGAGGCGGTGCCCAGCCCAGGGTTAAATGGGGAGAGACAGAAGTTCCAGGTTTGCACTTAAAAGCCAGATTCCAAAGCTCTTGCTCCAAGATCTTCCTCCCAATTTTGTTTTTAAAAATTTGAAGCAGAAAGATGTTAGCTTCCTGCAATATTCACCTTCTCCTTACAGACACTTTCTGCTGAAGCATTTGAAAGCAGGCTGTAGGGCCCTCAACTGGCGGCACCCAGGAGAACAAGGAGGTCTCTACGGCTGAGACATGATGGCTCCATGACTGGAGCCCCTCATGGTGACACCACGATGGACACACCTGACATCCAGCCACGTGCACTAGCCCAGGGCCCCTGCCTGCTTGGCGGCTGCTGTTCTTTTGATCCAGGAGCTGCTGTAGCACCACGACTGCCTTTAGTTATCATGTCCTTATTCTTCAACCTACAACAGCCTCCCCACAGACCCCACCTGTTATTAGCTTCCGTGACACTGACGCCTTAGGAGAGTCCAGCCTGTTGTCTCACTGCTTCTAAGAAGCCAAACATGGCTTTGAACCAAAACCTAAGAGAGAGGCCACAATACCACATTTCACCAAACCCCAAGAGCCTCAAAGCAGTCGCATCTCCAGAGGAATTCCACAGGCCTTCCAATCTTCATTTACATAAGCAGTGGACAAGGAAGGTTTCAGCCGCATGTAGGATTTTGATGCATTGAGTGTTTTCATCCAGAAGCCCCAAGGGCATCTGCCATGAAATCAGTCTTACTCCATTTTCCAAAACAAATAACACTCTTCTGATGAATCAGTGCTCATTGAAATCTTTTTTTTTTTTTTTTTTTTTGAGATAGTTTTGCTCCTGTCGCCCAGGCTAGAATGATCCTGGCTCACTGCAACTCAGCCTCCCGAGTAGCTGGGATTACCCCACATCCAGCTAATTTTGTATTTTTAGTAGAGATGGGGTTTCTCTATGTTGATCAGGCTGGTCCCAAATACCTGACCTCAGGTGACCCACCTGCCTTGGCCTCCCAAAGTGCTGGGATTACAGGCGTAAGCCACCGTGCCCAGCCAGAAGAATCTTATCAAGGACATGGCCTGCCCCTGCAATGGAGCAGCGCACGCTCACTCCTCTGATTGTCGTGTCTGGCAGGCACACGTGCATATATCACCCTAAACACACACTGCTTGCTTTATTTCTTCTGATTAATCATACTCCGCGGTTTGGCTACCGTTTACTACAATGGTTTGATACGCAGGTTCTTCCTAATTTTTTTGTAAGAATGACCATCACTTTCAATCAGCAGGGTCCTGGCTGCATCCAAACCAATAATGGTGCTGTTCACTGCCTCCAGGAGGTTCTCAGAGCATCAGAGAACCATGGATCTTATGGCTAATACTCCCGACACCCTGTGCCCTCAGCCACCCACCGAGAGGCTGTCAGTCACTTCCCGCAGGGTTCTGAAGATTGAGAGCCCAGAGGCAAGGCGCATGGGTGGGGACGACTTTGCTCTCCTCCGGAGCTCCTGATGCACTCTGCCCCTGCTGCCTACCTGCCTCATGTGCCGGAGGGACTTGAAGACTGGCAGCTTCCGGGGCTGCCAGCTCCCACAGCCTGAAAGAGAGGAGGACTCTGCCGGGCCCTGGGTCAGCTCCCGCCCTTCTGCACCCTCTGGCAACACAGGGGCTTTCTCCTCCTCTTCAGCCTCAGAGTTGTCCCAGGTTTCTGATTCTTCTTCTAAATCTGTCAGACAGACAACAAGGACAGTTACAGATACAAACCTGTGACTTCAGCCCAAGGCACCTCGTGGGCTGAACTGGTCAGTGTAAATTCCCTGCTGTGGCCAGGTCCCATGTTCCCTCTTGCTCTGGGAGCCCTGGGCTGGGAGGGAGGGCTCAGCTGCTGTCTGCTTAGGCTGGGGCACTACACGTCTGCCTTAGAAGCACTTACGAAAAAACTGTCAGCTGTTCTTTGCTGGTGAGAAAACTCTAACCAGTGACAAAAATGCCAACAGTGTGTCTTCTTTTTTTTTTTTTTGGGACAGAGTTTCGCTCTTGTTACCCAGGCTGGAGTGCAATGGCGCGATCTCGGCTCACCGCAACCTCCACCTCCTGGGTTCAGGCAATTCTCCTGCCTCAGCCTCCTGAGTAGCTGGGATTACAGGCACGCGTCACCATGCCCAGCTAATGTTTTGTATTTTTAGTAGAGACGGGGTTTCACC